AACTAGTCTTAGATTCCACTAGTCCACATTCCTATTTCAAGAAACATACATTTTCATCCTTGGTGTGTAGTTTAAGAGGTGGATTTTAAAAATATAAATTTTTGTAGCTTAGATCTATGTAACTTGGAAGATCAAAATAAACTTACAATTTGGGATAACACAAACCTGTATTATATTCAAACGTAAGTTCAGTTTAGAATTTCTAATTATATAAACTCAACTCAATTCAAAAGCCAAATAATTGTATATATTTTACGTGAGTTGTGGGAGTGGAAGGATCTCTAAATGAAATGGGAGGCAGCCTCATACTGACATTAAGAAAACCAATACATTCAAAAAACAAGAAGGAAACATTAAGAAAACATCGTACCTCTCCAGGAACCCATTTCTCTTTCAACCAAATGCTAACATCCACAGAACTATTTTCCTGCTGTAAATTATGTCTGCATAATTGAGAAAAGAAAAACTAAACTTAAACATATATTTCTGACTTCTTTGATGTATAAATTTAGTAATGTAAATCGTCTTGAATGTAGTTGTTGTTGCTAATAAGATGATGAAAAATTTCACTAAAAAAAATATAAAAAGCTAACAGCAGTTTGATGAAATTGAAAGAAACAATGTTCAAGCATGAAGTTGGAATGAGAACGAGTCAAAATTTCCAGCAGCAAAGAAAAGATGGGGCACAACCACGATTTAGTGTCTAAAAACCTATATAAGGCTTGCAGTGGATAAAATATATGAGATCAGACATGGAAAGGGAACGCAAGAGAACAAGGCAAAGCTCAAGTCCCTAAACAATGAAAATGGGGTTGTGGGAGAGCAATACAACCGTCATGCTACTAGGCGAAGTGCTGAAGTGCTACACCCTAGATGGCGAGAGGCCAGTAGTCGAAAACAACACTAGCTTAAGCTCTGACCCGAGTAGTATGGAGCACATGGAATCATGTGTGAATGAACCCAGACCACCTTGCAAGGCAAAATACTCCTGGGTGACTAATAGTGAAGTAGTACCGTGAGGGAATGGTGGAAAGAACTCCCTTCGGAGAGTGAATTAGAACATGAAATCGTAAGTTTCCAAGCGATGGGAGGAGACCGAGACTCTGACCGCATGCTTATTGAAGAATGAGCTGACGATTCATGGGTAGTGGCTTGATTAAGAGAACCCACCGGAGGTGTAGCAAAAGTGAGTCTTTGTGTGACTTCTAATCTACTCAAGAGACAGATCAAGTAGCATTCTCCAACCTGCTTAGGCGCTAAGACATTGCAAGTGTTTTCCTTCTTAAGTATAAAGAATGATTTCATTGATAGGGCCCTCCAATTCTACATCCCAAGGATCATCATCAACAAAGGTTTGCAATTCATAAGATAAACCATCTAAACCCTTTCCAGTGACCTCAAGGAAGCTGGAGCTCAAATAAGACCCTAGTGGATACTCCAAAGAAAATACTTGAAAAGGTAAGAAAGATGGGTGGACAAGCTCACAAGGCATCTTTGAGCATAAATACCAACGAAAAGAACAAAATTCCCACTAGAGATGGTCTCAAATGGGGCTTGGAATCCTCAGTTAAAATGAGGATAGGGTTGGGAAAAGGGAATTGAAGCTTTTTGAGAGAAGAATTTCTTCATATTATTTTCAAGACAATAGAATGAAAATATATACAAGTTTACCTTCAATCAAAAACTAGAAATTAGGTATCAATCTAGATCTACAAGGAAAGCCTAAATCACATAGTATACAAGGAAATAAATTTGAAGTAATTTGTCCTAAATTTCAGCTTGACTTTCTACACTCCCCCTCAAGCTGGATGATATATGCTTGTCATTTCAAGTTTCGAAATCAATCTACTAAGGCTGGTTCGATGCAATGCCTTAGTTAATATATCAGCTGCTTGTTGTTGGGAGGACACATATCTGAGGTTAATTGTCTCCGTCTCAATCTTCTCACTGATGAAATGACGGTCTATTTCAACATGTTTCATCCGATCATGATGTACTGGATTTCTTGCGATGGCTATGCCAGATTGGTTGTCACATAGTACCTCTATAGTACCTTCAGTCTTGATCTTGAGCTCAGTGAGAAGGCGTTTTAACCAAATTCCTTCACAAATCCCATGTGCTAATGATCGAAACTCACCTTCAGCAGTGCTTCGGGCTACAACCGGTTGATTCTTACTGAGCCAGGTTACTAAGTTCCCCCATACATATGAACAATATCCTCATGTTGACTTCCGATCAATTGGAGATCCGGCCCAATCTGCATCAGTGTAGACTTCAAGAGCTCGGTTTGTGGTCTTCCTGAACATGAGTCCCTTTCCAGGATCGTGCTTCAGATATCTCAATATTTTATACACAGCTTCCATATGTTCCTTTGAAGGTTTGTTCAGGAATTGACTTACCACACTAACTTCAAAGCTAATGTCTGGTCGCGTATGAGTTAAGTATATAAGCTTCCCAACTAGACTTTGACATCTGCCTCGATCAACTGGTTCATCTTCGAGATTAACTCCAAGTTTTGAGTTTGCATCCATAGGTGTATCTGTTGGTTTGCAGCCACTCATCCCCGTTTCTCATAGTAGATCTAGCGTGTACTTTCTTTGAGTAACAGAAATCCCTTTACTAGATCTTGCGACTTCCATTCCTAGGAAATACCTTAGGTGTCCCAAATCTTTGATCTCAAATTTCTTTGAGAGAAGTTGCTTCAGTCGAATCATCTCCTCAGAAACATTTCCTGTGAGAATTATATCATCAACATATACTATTAATACAGTGATCTTACTTGGTGAGAAATGTTTGATGAAGAGGGTATGGTTGGATTGACACTGAGTATAGCCATCTTGTTTTAACACAGCTATAAATTTTTCAAACCAAGCCCGAGGTGACTGTTTTAATCCATAAAGAGACTTCTTGAGTTTACATACCTAACCTCTAGTATACCTGTTCTCAAATCCATGAGGTATGTCCATGTACACTTCCTCTAATAAATCGCCATTTAGAAATGCATTCTTTACATCTAGTTGAAACAAGGGCCATTCTAGATTTGTCGCAATAGAGAGAAGTACCCGAATAGTATTCAGCTTGGCAACTGGAGCAAACGTTTCCTAATAGTCAATCTCAAAGCTTGGGTGAATCCTTTTGCCACAAGACGAGCTTTGAACCGCTCTATACTACCATCTGGTTTGTGTTTGGTCGAAAAAATCCATTTACAACCAACTGTGCGTTTACCTGGGGATAAGTCTGTAAGGATCCAAGTCCCATTTTTCTCCAGAGCCTGTAGCTCTTCTAGGGTGGCAGCTTTCCATTCAGGTCTCTATAGAGCTTTTTGAACTGAGTTGGGAGTTCGTATCTGATCTACTGAAGTCCCAAAAGCTTTGAAACATGGCGACAAATTAATGTAAGATAAGTGATATTGTATGGGATGTTGAGTACACGAGCAAACACCTTTCCTTACAGCAATGGGTCTATCATCTTCTGACATGTCGTGTGCTATTTCAAGGACATTAGGATTTTGGTTTAGATCTTGGCTTTGTTGAACTTGTGTAGGTTGTATCTCAGTCCTCTCAGGTTGTCTCGCTCTTCACGAATAAACTTGCAATTTAAACTCAGGGGTAGATAAGGGAGTTGACTCAGAAGATGGTACAAGTGAACTTTCAGATGATACATTTAAAGTTACTGTAGGAAAAACAGGAGTGCAATCCCAATTTTGTGATTCAAGATCATAATGCTCCCCTTGAATTACAGAATTGGGATAATATGGTTGATGTTCAAAAAATGTGACATCCATGGTATGAAAGAATTTTTGAGATGGAGGATGATAACATTTGTATCCTTTTTTATTTGATGAGTATCCAAGGAAGACACATTTTATGGATCTCGCATCAAGTTTACTACGATGCTGAGGATATACATGAACGAATGCAGTACACCCAAATATTTTTAATGATAGTTGGGACACCAAATGGGATGTAGGATGGGTCGTAAGTAAACCTTGCAAGGGTGTGCTGAATTTGAGAATACGGGAGGGCAATCGGTTTATGAGATAGGTCGCGGTGAGAACAGCTTCACCCCAAAAAGATTTTGGAATGTGTGATGTGAGCATTAGGGATCGGGCTACGTCGAGAAGATGACGATTTTTGCGTTCAACGACACCATTGTGTTGTGGTGTGTCAACACACGAACTTTGGTGAACAATGCCATGAGATTGGAGATATGTTCCAAGAAAAGAGTTGAAAAAGTCACGTGCAGTGTCAGTTTTCAGTTGAAAAAGTCACGTGCAGTGTCAGTTTTCAGTACTTGGATATTGACTTGAAACTGATTTTGGATAATTTTATGAAAGGTGGTGAATAATTGGCTAGTTTCAGATTTGTCTTTCATAAGGAATGTCCAACTCAAACGTGTGTGATCATTAACAAACAGAAGAAACCAACGAGCCCCATTGATATTTTTTACCCTTGAAGGTCCCCAAATGTCTCCATGGATAAGAGAGAAAGGTTGAGATGGAGAATGAATATTAGGTGAATAATGGGCACGTGTGTGTTTGGAGAGTTGACCAATCTCACACTAGAAAAATTGACTCTTTTTATTGATAAATAAAGAAGGAAACAGATGCTCGAGATAGGCAAAATTTGGATGACCAAAATGATAGTGCAACATCATGATACGACTATCTTTATGATTTAAAGACACAGAAATATAAGCTCACTCACGATTAGACTGCATTACAAGTTTATTGCATTCATGTGTTGGTGGAGGACTAGTTGCTCTCAGAAGATACAATCCAGCACATAGTTCAGCATTGCCAATCATCTTCCCCAATCCCAAGTCCTGAGAAATACAAGAGTTTGCAAGTAATTTAGTTTCGCAGTTCAAGTCTCGATTCAACTTACTTACAGATAGCAGATTATACTCCAACGTTGGCACAAATAAAACTGACTCAAGAATTAGAGAGCTTGATATCTGAATACTTCCAATACCGGTCACTTTAGCAGGTGTACCGTTAGCAATTCGAACAAAGAGGTTTCCCGTATAAAGTGAAAAGGATGAGAATAAGGATCTATCACCTGTCATATGATCTGATGCTCCAGAGTCCACTATCCATTCAGATGGAAGAGTTTGAGTATGGAGAGCAAGGGAATTTTGGTTACCTTGCTGTACACATTCCCAGAACCACCTACTGTTGTTGATAGATTTGTTTTGTGCAATAGTTGTTGCAGTATGTTCAACAACTCTTTAGCATGTGGTTTTTGATTGGAAGTTTCAGATAGAGCAACATTCCCCTTAGTTTCCCGATCCGATCTAGTAGTGTTCGGCTTCAATTTGCTGGTTTCCCACGTAGTTTCCAACAGGTTTCTTTGACATGTCCCATTTTATGACAGTGATCGCACCATGGTCGCCCTTTGCGCTGCCGATTGTCACCATAGGATTGGAAGTTTCCCCGAGCAGCAAGAGCGATTGGATCTCGTTGGGAAATGAGAGCAGATCCAGTTTGAGTAAGAGGATGTTCAGATGATCCCAACATGACTTGCTTTCGACTTTCCTCCCTGCATACTTCAAAAAAGACTTCTCGGATACTAGGTCATAGCTTAGTTCCAAGAATTCGACCACGAACTTCATCAAGGGATTTATTGAGACCCATTAGGAATTTGAAAATCCTCTTTGTTTCCACAAATTCTCGAAAGAAAGTACGATCATCAGAACATTTCCAATCAATAGTTTCAAATAGATATAATTGTTGCCAATGGCGAGATAAAGTGGAGTAATAGGTTGTAACAGATAAATCACCTTCTTTGAGATCATGGAGAGTAGTCTCTGTCTGGAAAATTCAGCAGTGTTTTCCTTATTGGAGAAAGTATCATGAACAGCTTCCCAAATCTCTTTGGCAGTAGAAAATAGGAGAAAATTTTCTCCAATTTCGGTTGCCATGGAGTTTATTAACCAGCTCATTACTTGATTATTTTCAGCCCTCCATTTGCGGAATTTTGGATCATCAGATTTTGGCGATTCTGCTTTATCCGTGATATGGTCCTCCAATCCACGACCATACATGAACATCTTTACTGATTGAGACCACTGGAGATAATTGTGGTCGGTGAGCTTGTGGCATGTTATCTGAGTGTTGCTGCTTTCG